TATATATGGTTGTTCATGTCTGTGTGTATTTGTTCTGGATCGGCTTGTACCTGCATCCTTATGATTAGCGAGAAGGAACCTGTATGCATATGCCTCTGGCAGGTGTGCACCTGTAGTTATTTTTTTGTGGGTGGATTTGCCCTTGTTTATGCTTGTACTGAGTTGAATTGTCCGGGTGAGTATTGGCTACTCTATTCTGTTCTGAATTACTTTACTATTGGGTCTCGCACCTGCACTTGCGCTTGTTTATTTTGGACCGGTGGACCTGTTTGTCGCCGGGGGGTATGGCTGTCCATGCACCACCGACTGGTTGAGGTAATCACTCTATCCGATTAGTCCATTGACCATGTAGTGTCTTCATAAGAAGCCCAGTATATTCAGCTGGTGTCACCATGGTATGGCTCTCCTCAGCTAGTAAGACTATGATACGGCTATAGATGTCCCAAGTGTCATATGACTAACCTGCCTTAACACGCCGTGACACCCTCGTGACCAGGCCACACAAGACCAGTGTCCGCCCGAGTTGACCGGTGAACAGGCTCGACTGGCCGTGGCAAAGAGTTTGGGCCAGGACTTGGACCAGGTGTTTGCCACATTTGACAGTCACCCTATTGCCGCTGCGAGTATTGGTAGGTATTGTGTGGGACAGTTTTATACGGTAGTATTGGTAGGTACTGTGTGGGACAGTTTTGTACGGTAGTATTGGTAGGTATTATGTGGTATAGTTTTGTACGGTAGTATTGGTAGGTACTGTGCGGTACAGTTTTGTACGGTAGTATTGGTAGGTATTGTGCGGGATAGTTTTGTACGGTGGTATTGGTAGGTATTGTGTGGGATAGTTTTGTACGGTACAGTTTTGTACGGTAGTATTGGTAGGTATTGTGCGGGATAGTTTTGTACGGTGGTATTAGTAGGTAGAATCCGCTTGTGTAGTGTCCAAGCAGTCCGTCTGGCTCAAGAACTCGACGCCACAATTGGCAACAGTTTCCAAATACCACGAGCCTTTTGGCTTGTAACCACACACCTACTACACAGCAATATCAGATGAAGCGGGCGTGTGTCAGGTCAAGCCCCATTTTTGCGTGTGCCTGCCCTGATACCCGCAATATGTATGCACACACTAAACCCTAAAACCCTTAAAAACCCAAAAACCAGGTCAGGTGCATCGGGCAACGCTGCTGGATGGACGGGAAGTGGTGGTGAAGGTGCAATACCCATTTATTGAGGACAAGTTCAGGGCCGACATAGCCACAGCCATGCAATTCTGCAAACTCGCACAGCCTGCGCAGCTGCCGTTTATGCGCGAGACGGAGAAGCAGTTCTTGACCGAGTTCGACTACAGGTAGGTATAAGTTGTATGTATAAGCGGTATGTATAAGTGGTAGGTATGAGTGATAGGTGTGAGTGGTAGGTATAAGTGGTGGGTATAGTTAGTATATATAAGTGGTAGGTTTAAGTGGTAGGTTTAAGTAGTAGGTATAAATGTGTGGGTAAGGGGTGTGGTGTATTTAGAACAGGTACTCAGAAAATCAGTATTAGTCACTAGTATTAGGACACGCATAAGCATTCAAGCATGATCCGAAAGGCGTGTGTGTATGTGCGTGTGTGTTGAATCTTACGTCTGTCATTGTACAGTGCGTCTTATCAACCACACCCTTCTTCACGATGTTATATATCTGGCTGTTCACATCCTACATCACGATGTAATATATCTGGCTGTTCACATCCTACTTCACGATGTTATTATATTTGGATATTCCTAGTTCACCTCACTCTCTGTCGCAGGCGTGTGTCTCAATCACATCCCCTCGATTGCTCTTCTGTACCAATTTTCTACTACTATTATATTTATATTTATCATTTATATGAATATCTATATTTAAATTGTGTGGCGTGTCATTTGTGCCGAGTCGTCTCCTTTCTTTAAGTCCGTTTTACTGATTCGCGGTTAGTGGTCAGGAGAAGTGTTTGAATCATATCGCTGTTGTTGCCGATACTTTGAGGTTACGATAACATAGTTATTCGTACAAGTGTATCGGAGAGGGACCCTCCTCCGTCAATTGCCCAACTAAATCTTCTTAATCATTATGGGCTTAGCTATCTGTGGTTCCGCAACTGTTGTGAATGGGTTAAATGCCGAGATAGGGTTTCTCCAACTGATTTGATTGGCTAATACAGGGTTGCTCCAACTGATTTGATTGGCTATGATAGGGTTTTGTGCCGTGTACCGGTATACCGTATTGTGAGATTGAACACTTCTCGCGCACATGTGATGATCGGTTGTACGTAGACGGGACAGTGACCACAAAGCCCAAGTGACGGCAGTGACATTAGACCTCGCAGTTAACTATGTAGTCAGATACACTGACTACATATGTGTTGTAAGCAATACCTGTACATGGCTTATCATACCAGTGTTGCCGAATATGCTGTACACATGTTTCCTTTTAGGGGAGAAGCAGAGAACATGCTGGAAATCAGGTCCAACCTAATGCAACACTGGCACAAGCAGATTGAAATCCCACGCCCTTTCATGCATCTGTGCACCAAGGAAGTGCTGGTGATGGAGTATCTCCCCGGCATCTCTCTCATCAGCGGGGTGCGGCGCCAGCTCAGGTAGGTGTGGGTAGGTAGTAATAGAGTGGGTAGACCTACTTGGAGATTGGGGTACCGTCCTGTGTCCATCTGACGAGGGTTGTGCGCGTGTAGTTCATTAAGGATTGTGTTATAGTTCATCAATGCATGCTCCCAACCTTAAACTAATCCTTCGCGTGTGTGTGGTCTGTGTGCGTTGTGCTGTTGCTAGGGCGATGGCAGCTGAGCAGGGCAAGACAGCACAGCAGCTGGAGGATGAGTACCGTTGGGAGACCCAGCAACCAGGCCATGTGCACAAGGATCTGGAGCAGAGCAAGCGAGAGTTAAGGTAAGAGTCTAAGAGACGGCACTAACCTCTGGGTAAATTGAGAACCAGAACCAGTAGCCATGGGCCAGTCGACTGGATGGAACCATGCACGCATGCGTGTGCGTGTGCGTATGCGTATGTGATGTATATATGTTGCATGTTTTTTAGTACATCACATGTGCGGTGTTACTTGTCTTCGATTTATTTAGTCTTCACTGAGACACCTAGTGATTATGCCATGGTTAGCTTATTCCCTGACTACTTCCACTTCGGCGGCCTAGTCTCTTAATACCGGAGCTGTCAGGTGCCAGTCTGTGTACTTTATCCTCATTCTATACCCGTCAGCCGATAGTCTACCTACTTTGTCCTCATACTTGCCCTATAATCTCCCACCCTCCTGAACAGGTGGTACAACCGGTACCTCACCGTCAAAGACGGGACACTCAACACTCTACGCACCACCTACAACTGGACCGTGGGGTTGGTCACAGGCGATCACAAACACTGGCAGTACAGCGTGCGGCCCATTAATTTGGCCCAAATCCTGGACACCGTCCTCAAGGTGCACGCACACCAGATATTCTACGACGGGTGCTTCAATGGAGATCCACACCGTATGTGGGATGTGGGAGTGGGTGTAGGGTTGTCCTTTTGTTGGATATGTGAGGATGTACGATGGCTGCTATAGTGTAGATCCACAGTGTATGTTGCGTGATGTGCATTTGTGGACGGGTGGTCTCCCTACCGGATATGTGAGACATGAATGTGACGTTTGACTGAGAGTGTGTCAGTATGTATATGTGTGTTTGCATGTATTTGTACTTGTATTTATATATATAATACATACATATATATATATATATATATATATACATATGTGTGTGTATGTATGTGTATGTATATGTATATGTATATGTATACATATGTGAGTGCGTGTGTGAGTGCGTGTATGTGTATATATATGCATATCTCCCTCACAGTAACACTCTCTCCGCACCACCTTGTACACAGCTGGCAACATCATGCTCCTAGATGACGGGCGTCTTGGGCTAATTGACTTTGGACAGGTGAAGCATTGGTCCGAGGCCACACGCTACCACTACTCTCTGCTCATCCGAGCACTCGCACAGGATAATCGACCAGAAGTAGTGGATATTGCAAACAATGTGCTGGGCATGCATACAAAACACGACGATCCGGAGTGCATATACCTGTACATGGCTTGTAAGTGCATATACCTGTACATGGCTTGTAAGTGTTTATAATTGTACATGTCTTGTAAGTGCATATACTTGTACATGGCTTGTAAGTGCATTTACTTATACATGGCTTGTAAGTGCATATACCTGTACATGGCTTGTAAGTGCATATACCTGTACATGGCTTGTAAGTGCATATACTTGTACATGACTTGTAAGTGCATATACCTGTACATGGTCTTGTAAGTGC